CTCACTCTGTTGACCAGAGGCTAGAGTGCAATGGTGCAATCTTGGCTCCCTGCAGCCTCCATATCCCAGGTTCAAGAGATTCTCCTGCCTCAGCCTCCTGAGTAGCTGGGACTACAGTCATGTGCCACCATGCTGGGCTAATTTTTATATTTTTAGTAGAGACAAGGTTTCATCATGTTGGCCAGGCTGGTCTCAAACTCCTGACCTCAGGTGATCTACCCACCTTGGCCTCTCAAAGTGCTGGGATTATAGGGGTGAGCCAGCATGCCTGGCCTACTCTCTCTCTTTTTGAGAAGATTTCTCACTATGTTGCCCATGTTGATGTCAAACTCTTAGGCTCAATTTATTCTCTTGCCTCAGCCTTCTGGGTTACCTGGGACTACAGACATGCATTACACCCAGCTACTCTGTCTCTTGAAGACCCCATGAACAGTGGGCCAAGTGTCATCACCAAAATTGATAAACCCAGAGCCTTGTTTGAGTGAGCTCAAGTTGTGCGGGGAGTAAGAACCAAGAGCCTATCTGTGGGGAAGAGGGTGTCCAGGGCCAGGAGACAAGTGAGCAGCTCAAGGCCCAGTGCCAGAGGGATGCTACCTGCAACTGGACAGTTCCCAGGAGGCCTGGCAAGGCTCTTACCTCTGGTTCCCTCCCAGAGATTCCCCAGGGTCTCTGCAGGGACACCCTTCCCTTTGCAAACTTGGCTGTGGATGGTTCTGGTTTCACATCAACACATCCCTGACCAAGACAGAAATTCTAAAAACCTAGATTTCATGAAAAATTTAAAATTTCTTGTATGAACTGGATCCTTCCTTTCTTAATGCCACTTACTTATGGGTACTGTACCTTCAAGCATGCAACAGGCCCCCAAGAAGCCCACAGGCCCTGGCTTGTGTCCCCAGCCTCCTTCCTGCCATTTCATTCCCTTGGAATAGATGGATGAAAACGGGCAGGCCAGCCTAGTAGCAGCTATCTAGTGCAGTCACGTGGCTGTTGCTTGCAGTAGGGGTGCACTGAAGTCCCATGGGTTTTTCTGAGCCCAGCCACATGTGCCTGGAGGTCAGAAGAGATGTCTGCCAGTGGCTTAGATGCAGCTGACATTGGACTATTTGACATTAGAGTCTTTCTTCTTTCTTTTTTTTTTTTTTTTTTTTTTTTTTTTATTTTTTTTTTTTTTTTTTTTTTTTTTTTTTGAGACAGAGTCTTGCTTTGTCACCCCAGACTGGAGTGCAGTGGTATAATCTCGTCTCACTGTAACCTCCGCCTCCCAGGTTCAATCGATTCTCCTGCCTCTGCCTCCGAAGTAGCAGGGATTATGGGCATGCACCACCATGTCTGGCTAATTTTTGTATTTTTAGTAGAGACGGGGTTTTGCCATGTTGGCGAGGCTGGTTTTGAACTCCTGACCTCAAGTGATCTGCCCACCTCAGCCTCCCAAAGTGCTGAGATTACAGGCATGAGCCACTGTGCGCAGCTGACATTGGACTATTTCTGAAGGAAGAGTCTTGCATTTTGCCCTTTAACAAGACTTCACAGGTGATTTAATGTGACTCCGATAGAGGCTACATCTAGGGTGCCCAATGGGTGTTATTTTTTGAAGCTCCTGTTTCATTTTTTCCAGTGAATGAGTTTCAGCAGGTGTTGAGAAGTCTGAGGAGGCAGTGGGTGAGCTGCCATGAGACAGTGTATGTCTTGTGTCTAATTTGATTTGACTTGTTTTTGTGGCCATGAGAACTTGGAGCCAGGGATAAAAAGCACAAGCAGCAGAGATGACAGCTCCCTGCCACATGTCTTGTCTCACTCCATCCCAAGGGTTCACTCTATAGCCACAGAGAGATGAGAAAGGAGTGTGTCAAATAATTCATGTCAGGCATACATGGTGTGAGAGATTGTTTTTAATTTTTTTTTTTTTTGAGATGGAATCTCACTCTATTGCCCAGACTCTATTGATCGTGTAGTGGCATGATCTTGGCTCACTGTAACCTCTGCCACCTGGGTTCAAGTGATTCTCCTGCCTCAGCCTTCCAAGTAGCTGAGATTACAGACACCTTCTACCGCACCCAGCTAATTTTTGTATTTTTAGTAGAGATCGGGTTTCACCATCTTGGCCAGGCTGGTCTTGAACTCCTGACTTTGTGATCCACTGCCTCAGCCTCCCAACGGCCTCCCACCACGCCCAGCCTTGTTTTTTTTTGTGTGTGAGACAGAGTCTTACTCTGTCACCCAGGCTGAAGTGCAGTGGTGCGATTTTGGCAAGCTCCACCTCGCGGGTTCAAGCAATTCTCCAGCCTCAGCCTCCCTCATACCTGAGATTATAGGCATGTACCACCACGCCCAGCTAATTTTTGTGCTTTTAGTAGAGACTGTTCCACCACATTGGTCAGGCTTATCGCGAACTCCTGACCTCAGGTGATCCACCCGCCTTAGCCTCTCAAAGTGCTGGGATTATAGGCACGAGCCACTGCGCCCAGCTTGTTTTTGATTATTTTTGAAAAGCCTCAAAAAACCTCTTCCCCAAACTAGCCACCATCAGGCAAGAGGGTGATTTATTAAGCATGAGCTGGACTGGCTTAGCTCTCCTGGTTGGCTAAAATTGCCCAGAAAAATAATTTGTGGTTGTCAGGTTCTAAATTAAATGATTCAAATACTACTGCAGCTGATTAAAAGGCTTTATTCAATTTCCTCCTGACCACATGCTCTCCTGTGAGACCAGGAGATACTGTTTCTAGAAGAAATGCACTATTTGGAGCCTGTTGATCTAATCTAATGGATGGTGTTTATTAAGTATGGTCTGCCTACTTTTTTTCTAAATGAAAGGTGAGACTAAAGAAGGAGGAAGAGATGATTTCCTGTTTGTTTAACTATGAATGAGTCTGTTGCCAGGTTTCTGGGTAGCCAGCCCCTACTGTGAACAAGGGTGAGTACCTAAGACATTTTTAAGTACCCTTTAAAGACCTCTAGGCAACCATAATAGAGGTCAACAAATGAAACCCAAGTATGAATAAACAGGAAGAAGAGTCTGAAGATTGCAGTGGACTGTCTAATGGTGCAGTGCATCACCCACAGTACTCACTGAAGGGACAGTCTCGAGCCGGCCACCTTAGCGCCTTCCCTTCTCGGCCTTGCTGATAGACCCTGAGGGAACCAGGACCCAAGGCAGCCAATCCAGAGATGTATCATGTGCCTTGGCAGAAAAATAGATGGGCTGCCTTAGGAATGTGAAAGAGGAGCTCCCACAGGGAGAAGACCAGCAGCTGGTGCAGGAATTGAAAGGAGAAGAGAGGTCAGAGAGTGACCACGTGACTCGGAGAGTGCTGGAGTAACCAGCCAGCCCCCAGAGTGAGCCTCACCCTCTCCTGCCTCTGGTCTAGGCTCTGTCCCAGTTTGTTGCACTCATCTTGAAAGCAAGCTCAGCCCTTCTTTTTAAAAAAAATTTTTTTGAGACAGGGTCTTGCTCTGTCACTCAGGCTGGAGTGCAATGGTGCTAACACAGCTCACTGCAGCCTCAACTTCCTGGGTTCAAGCGATCCTCCCACCTCAGCCTCCCAAGTAGCTGGGACCACAGGCACGTACCAACATGTACAGCTGATTTTTATTTGCTTATTTTAAATTTTATTTTATTTTTTTCTGAGATAGGGTCACACTCTGTCACCTAGGCTGGAGTGTAGTGGCGCTGTCTCTGCTCACTGCAACCTCTGCCTGACAGAATCAAGCAATTCCCGTGCCTCCTGAGTGAGTAACTGGGACTTCAGCCGCTCACGACTGCGCCTGGCTAATGTTTGTATTTGTAGTAGAGATGAGGTTTTGCCAAGTTGGCCAGGCTAATCTCAACTCTTGGTCTCAAGTGATCCTCCCACCTTGGCCTCCCAAAGTGCTGGGATTGCAGCTGTGAGCCACTACTCCCACTACTACCAGCCTGCAGCGCTTCTTAAGATGGCCTAAGCAGGACTCAAAAGAGCCCAGCTGAACCTGGGAGAACCCGGGAATCAACAGAAGATTTTCAGCAGGAACTACGGAGCAGTTCACCACCATATGAAACACAAGTGGCTTTTAGAGAGTGAGTTGTATAATCTACAAGGGAAATGATGAGGCCAGACCAGTGAGGCAGAAAATGGCCCTTTGGCCAAAGCAAGGAGGAGGGTGGCAGGCACTAGGGGAGGATGGGGCTCACCTCCCTGGAGTGACCTCCCGCTAACCTCGCCTCTATGCTTCTGTCTCTGGAGGAAAGGATGCTACAGCCTGGCCTTCCTACCCCAGGCCAACAGACAAGGAGGCTCACAGAAGGGAAGCTTGCTTCGAACCCCAAGTACCTCCAAGGTCTCATAAGACAGCACGACCCTGGACCTTGGAAGGGAGCACAGATGGAAACACACCCAGGCTCCGGCTTGGCCCATCAGTAGGTGCAGAATCCTCCATCTTGGATTCCCTCCGTTTATTGAATGAATTGTTTCCATTTACATTTTGGTTTTTAGCCAGTGTATGTTTTTCATTATGTTAAGAATTGGTCTCATGTAGTGAGTAAGGCCATAGAACTTGGTGTCAGGCCGTTGGCTGGGCTTCTGGCCCTGCTACTTACTGTGTGGCCTTGACCTGGTCACTTAGCCTCTCTGTGCCTCAGTTCACTCATCTGTAGAATAGGAATAATCTGCCCCTCTCTAGTAGCATTGTTTATGAGATTTAAGGAGCTGTCTGTCATGTGCCAGGGCTTGCAACAGATCCTGTCCATGTCAATATCAGCTTGACGTTTTATTAAACACTTTCGTTTCTTTTTCTTTTTTCTTTTCCTTTTTTTTTTGAGACAGTTTTGCTCTTGTCACCCAGGCTGGAGTGCAATGGCGACATCTCAGCTCACTGCAACCTCTGTCTCTTGGGTTCAAGCGATTCTTCTGCCTCAGTCTCCTGAGTAGCTGGGATTACAGACGCCCACCACCATGCCCAGCTAATTTTCGTATTTTTAGTACAGATGGGCTTTCACCATGTTTCCAGGCTGGTCTGAAACTCCTGACCTCAGGTGATCCACCCACCTCGACCTCCCAAAGTGCTGGGATTACAGGAGTGAGCCACCGCGCCTGGCCCTGGTGTTTCATTTCAAATGCTTCTGTCCCTGCCCTTTGAGGGTTTTTTTGGAAGGTGTGTTTTCAGTTGACCAGCTGGCGTTCTTAGTAACACCAGCGCCCTCCTCGGTCTGCGCTGCGCGGCCGAGGCCGGTACAACCTCCAGGGGGCGCCCGGGGCCCGCGCTCCCTCGACGCGGCGGCCCGTGGCGTCCGGGCGGGAGAACTTCGTATCCGAGTAGTCCACCTGGATTCGTCTTCTTGGTTCCCGAGCCTCCTCCCTCTCCCCTACCAAAGGACAGTGAACTGGAGCGGCGCTCGGGGCGGGCAGCTGGACACGTAGCGCAGCCTTCGTGACAGGTCTTTTTTCGTCCCACGTTTGTATGGGACTCTGGGCTTCCAAACCGACCTTGGGTGATTTGTCAGCAGATACTTTCACTGCCCACCGCAAACCTGCAGAGCCAAACGGGGCCGCTCTCTGGAGGGTATGGGAGGACGCCCCCTGCCAGCTGCCAGCATCTGGGGGGAGAGGGGTGGGAAATGAAGTTCTGGTTTTGCACATTTACTCGTCTACACTGGCGTCTCACTGTGACCTAGGAACTGGAGATGGAGGCTAGGGCTGGGAGTTGGGGAGCCAGAGACTGTAGGGCGGGGGTTCCCACCAGGATGGGTTGGTGGGGTCACCAGGCAGCAGATCCTTACCAGGCAGAGCCCTTAGACGGCAGCATCAGGGGCGATGGATGGATGTAGACCATGGGGTTCAGGAGCCTGATAGGGAGGCAATGGGATGGCCACAGGGTCCAGCCAGAAATGAAGGGACAAAAAAATCCTTGGGGCTGCAGACCAGAGGCCTCTTGTGGTGGCCAAAGATGAGGGAGACACAGGGTGCTTGGTGTGCAGAGGTGTCATCCTAAAGGCCAAGACCGTACAGGGCTGGACATGGCAGCTTGGATGTGGCAGGGAATGGAGAGGGACCAAGGAAGCTGGTGACCTGGACAGTGACATGGGTTGTTCTTACCCGTCACAGTTACCCAAGATGAAGGCAGGTCCTTGAGTTGAGAAAGGGGCTGGGTGTCTGCCTGTAATCCCAGTGCTTTGGGGGGCTAAGGTGGGAGGATTGCTGGAGGCCAGGAGTTCAAGGCTGCAGTAAGCCATGATCATGCCACTGCGCCCCAGCCTGAGTCACAGAGTGAGACTCTGTCTCTTAAAAAAAAAAATGGCGGGGAGGCGGGGCAGGGAAGACTGGGTACAGTGGCTCACGCCTGTAATCCCAACACTTTCAGAGGCTGAAGCTGGCAGGTGGCTGGAGCCCAGGAGTTCAAAACTAGCCTGGGCAACATAGTGAGACTCCGTCTCTACAAAAAATGAGCCAGTCATGAAGCGACATGGTGCACACCTGTGGTCCCACCTACTTGGGAAGCTGAGGCAGGAGGATGGTTCAAGCCTGGGAGGCAGAGGTTGCAGTGAGCCAAGATTGCACCATTGCACTCCAGTCTGGGAAAAAGGTGGGGAGAGAAAAGGTGAGCCAAGCCCCAGAGCAAGGGCTGGGAAGAGAGAACAGCAAACAGGAGCCTCAAAAACTGGGGCAGCAGGGAGTGGGTGAGAGGGGGCTGGAATTGTTCAAAGGTACCCATTGAGCAATGGTTTCAAGGGATATTGAGGGGTCTGGAGAAGGGACAACTCCCAGGAAATGTGAGGAAGCTGTGGCCAGCAGGGAACACCTGCAAAGCAGGAGATGAAAGGAGAGGCTGTGTCTGTAACAGATGGTCCCTGCTTTCCAGGGTATAGAGGACAGCACATGGGGAGTGGGTGAGAAGATATGAGACTTCAGTGGGTGGGAGGACAAGATGGGGTGACCAAGAGTGGGAGGGTGGGAATCTGGACAGGACCCTGGGCTCACCACATGGGACTCTGGACAGAACCAGGGCAGCAGAGCCTCCACTCACAGACCAGACACCAGCTTCTGCTTGGAAAGACCCAACTCTATTAAGAACCCCGTGGTGTAGTGGCTCATGCCTTAATCCCAGAACTTTGGGAGGCAGAGGCAGGTGGATCACCTGAGGTCAGGAGTTCGAGACCAGCCTGGCTAACATGGCAAAATCCTCCGTCTCTACTAAAAATACAAAAATTAGCCAGGCATGGTTGTGGGCACCTGTAATCCCAGCTACGCAGGAGGCTGAGGCAGGAGAATCGCTTGAACTCGGGAGGTGGAGGTTGCAGTGAGCCGAGATCACACTTTTGTACTCCAGCCTGTTCGGCAAGAGCAAAAATCCATCTCAAAAAAAAAAACAAAACCTCCTGCACCATGACTAGTCCCTAGGGAGTGAGTCATGGGCTCTTACTGCACCCCAAGGAGCCCCACATGTGAAAATGCTTCCTGAAGCGCTGAGTGCTTGTAAAGGCCTACTGCTGGGCATGTCGGCCCTATTAGAGGAAACATTTTATCACGTCGGAGGCACAAGTAGGTTGTTTCGTGGTAATTGCTTTCCTAAACCATAAAGAAAATGCATCACAAACCCAGCACAATTAACTAAAGTGGTCACATTCCTCCTCTTTGATTTAAAACTATTTAGAAATATTAGCAACTGACTTTGCTTCCAGGTTGTTGGTGCTTTTTTTTTTCTCAACTGCGGCTTTTTCTTTTGAATCCCATAACATATCCTGAGTACACCAGGAGGGAGGAATGAAAAGATGTTTGTTTCCAGCTCTGCAGCCAACTGCTACTCAAACAATACCCTCAATATGTAACCTGGGAGTTTAATATTCTCAAATATTTATAATTATGCAGAAATAGCCCTAAGAAATGTTCAGCTTCCTCACAGCTGGATAATTATCTGCATTCAATGTTCACAACCTCGGAGCTGCTTCTCAGAGTTTGGGGTGCCTCTCTGCTACTTGGGCATGCAGAGTACATGGGTTCTGTGCACAGATTCCTAAGGGGGCATAGAGGTGGCATGGGGAGATCCTGGCGTGCTCTCTCTCTCTCTGTGTTGTCTCTCTCTCAACAGAGTCCTGCTCTGTGATACATTGCTCACTGTAGCCTTGAACTCCTGGGCTTAAGCGATCCTCCCACCTCAGCCTCCGGAGTAGCTGGGACCACAGACGCATGCCACCACACCTGGCTATTTTCTTCTAAAATGTCCATAGGTTTTTGGGGAACCAATGGTGTTGGTTACAGGATAAGTTCTTTAGTGGTGATTTCTGAGATTTTGATGCACCCATCACCCAAGCAGTGTACACTGTACCCAATGTGTAGTCTTTTATCCCTCACCCCCCTCCCACTCATTTTCTTCTAATTTAATTTTTTTTTTTTTCTAAAGACCGGATCTCACTTTTTTGCTTAGACTAGTATTGAATTCCTGGCCTCAAGTGATCCTCCCACCTCTGTCTCCTTAAGTGCTAGGATTGCAGAGTGAAGAAAGGCTCAATCATTCCCAGCAAATCCTGTAGTGGACCCATGGATAAAGTTCCACATTGAGTACCTGCAGAAGTGTCTCATGGAGTCCCAGGTGCTCCCCACAAAAGGATGCTGTGGTTAAAGCAGCATTGCCTCTGTCTACCTTTGGAGAGACACCATGCATGCCTTCGATTCATACATTTTCTCCTTGCCTGTCATCTCTCCCGCTGTTCCCTCTGTTCCACGCATATTTCCAGAAGAGTATCAAAAAAACTATTTTTCCTGCATAATTACCCACCTCCTCTCCGCCCACCTCCACACATCTTTTCTGCTTTGACGTGGCAGCTGCTCTGATTTCTTTAAGTGGACTGCATTCTGCATTTACCAGGCAGGTGGAATTCTATGAAGGGAGCCTCCAGCTGCACTGGGAGCAAAGGCCCTGGACATGATTGTCCCTCTCTGCTCCGGACCTGCTGCTCCTCTGCCTGCATTGAGATCCCCCTTCCCACAGCCCCTGGGCACAAGGATATTGGTTCCTGAATGGGGGTCACCAATCAACTGCCTGGTCCTCCTTCTCCCAAGCCCAGGTTGCCTCAGTCCTGACCCTGTGACCTGAAAGGAAATTCCTCTTTAGTGAGATCAGCTAGCATCTTCTCAGTTGCAGCTTTCAGAACACTCGACCCAAAATAACACAAGTTAAAGGAAATGGGGTATCCCATAGAACCAAAGAGTCTTGAAGCCCCAGCTGAGGTTCAGGCAGGGCACTGTTGATGCTGCTCTAAAATTCTTTTCACCTGCCTGCCTTGGGCTATGGGCTTTATCCCCAGGCCTGCCGTGCCCAACACAGCAAAGTGGTCAAAGGTGCTCCAAACCCTGGTTCACCCTCTGACTGCCCAGTAGAGCCAGGAGTTCCTTTTCCAGGTGGTTTCTACAAATGATCAAGAAAGCATCTTCCCTTGCTGGGTCTGATGACTCACACCTGTAATCCCAGCACTTTGAGAGGCTGAGGCTGGTGCATCGCTTAAGGTCAGGAGTTTGAGACCAGCCTGGCTAACATGGCAAAAACCCTTCTCTACTAAACATACACAAATTAGCTGGGCGTGGTGGCGGGCTCCTATAATCCCAGATACTCGGGAGGCTGAGGCAGGAGAATTGCTTGAACCTGGGAAGCGGAGATTGCAGTGAGCCGAGATCGTGCCACTGCACTGCAGCCTGGGCAACAGAGTGAGATTCTGTCTCTAAATAAATAAATAAGAAAGCATCTTCCCAGGGGCCCATCAAAAGTCCTGTGAGTCTGTTTGGTCCCAATTAGGTCTGGCGCCCGTCCCTTAGTCAACCACAGTGGCCAGGTGGCTGGAACATTCTGATAAGTGTCAGTCTATCAAGGCCTGTCTCTGCAGCTGGGAGGGGGGAGAAGTCCCTGAGCTGCATGGGGGAAGGACAGACACCCAAATCAAATGTGGAAGACTGGACCAATGGAAGTGGGAATGGACAGCAGAAGATCCCGGAAGTGAATATTCATGTCCCTGGGTAACTTGCAATTGAGTCCCCTCACCTTCTCTCTCTGAGAAGCAAAGACCAACTTCTCTCTCTGTGCACCTCAATAGGCAGCGTTCCAAGCAGGGTCCTTGCCTGTCTCGTGGACTTGCTGTGTTCCCAGCACCAAGGACGCTGACTGGCCAATGAGTGCTCCACCAGGATGAGCAAAGGGGAGGGAGAAACAGGCATGCTTGCCCGCAGGTGGCTTTGGGGCTCTGGATAGATCGAGACAGCCTTGGGATCCATGGAGCTGGCTGGATGAGGGGTCCAGGGCCCAGAGTGGCACGTGTCTTCTTCCACAGGCTTCACTGTAAGGTGGCCAGGAAGAAAGCCGTTACCGACAGAATTGTGGATGCCTGTCACTTAAGTATTTCACTGCACAGGGCTGTAGGAATCATTCAGTAAGATTCTAGAAGCATTCATAGGACATCTATTCATGCCAGGCCCGGGCACAGGCACTGTACAAGTGGACAAGGCACAGCTAGTCCCTGCCCTGCAGGGTCACACCTGGCAAAGTCAGGTCCCCACAAAACCAGGGCTAAAACAATGGGAACCCTGTCGTCAGAGGTGGGAAGAGCCGCCCCACTGCCCCACTGGCACCTCTGCCAGCCTTTCTCTCAGCAGCCAGAATGAGCCCCCAGGTGCCCTCACATAGCAGTGAGGTGTGTCAGACACTTTTCTTTTATACACATATGATTTATGACAAATCAATCCTAACTTGCATAAGGAGACACTAAGGCTTAGAGGGACTTTTCCCCAAATTTAAGACTCAGAAATGCCCAGATATTCTCTCCTTGATTGCTACTAAGTCTTTTTTTTTTTTTAATGGAGTCTCGCTCTGTTGCCCAGGTTGGAGTGCAATGGAACAGACTCGGCTCACTGCAACCTCCACATCCCAGATTTAAGCAATTCCCTGCCTCAGCCTCCTGAGTAGCTGGGATTACAGGCACCCACCAGCACACCTGGCTAATTTTTGTATTTTTATTAGACAGGCTTTCACCATGTTGGCCAAGCTGGTCTTGAACTCCTGACCTCGGGTGATCCACCCACCTCGGCCTCCCAAAGTACTGGGATTGCAAGCGTGACCCACTGTGCCCGGCCAGTTGCCGCTAAGTCTTATATCAGTCATAGTGTTCCCTTTCTTTGGTATGTCTATGATAATATGTAAATTATGAGCTTCACATTACAACAGGGCTTAGAGGGAAGAGCCTCTCCTGAATTTTCCTTTTGAGGAACTTGGTGCCTTGGAGACAACGTTCTTCTCCCTTGAGGACTCTTCTTAGTAAGTGGAGTAAATTTTTTCTTCACTAAAAAAAAATCTATTTCTCCAAATTTTTGAAAACAGTTTGAATGTTCTGCTTTAACCTCTGTGCCCAATTCCAGAGGCAGCAGTCCCCACTAGGGCCAGGCTGTGTTTAGCACCCCATGCAGGCGAACCCCCCAGCAGTGTCTGGGACATTCTGGGGGCCTTACCTGAGTGTCAGACACATCTGCCATTTCTCCAGCCACCACGCTGCCTCCGCTGCCTGCAACTCTGAGGTGGCTGCTGGGATCAGCATGCTCAGCCTCTCCAGCCACCACCCCAAGGCCCCCTTCTGGCTTCCAGAAGGGATTCTCTCTGTCTGGGGCAGACAGATCAGTCCTGACAGGGCTTATAGGCAGATGTCAGGACTTTTCAAAGTCAAAGCCCCAGAAATGGCTTGCCTTTAGCTACTGTTGTGATAGCCCCGAGTTGCTGCCGCCAACCCCTCCCAGCCAAAAGCAGCCCGTTCTATTATCTAGTCCCCTGCTCCTTCTGCCTCCGCATGGGCAGCTGGGTCCCCACACTAGAACCACCCAGGCAACTCCTCATAGGGTAGCCCAATCGTCTTGCTTTGCCTGGATCTGAGGGGTTTCCTGGGATGCAAGATTTTCAGTGCTAAAACTTTCAATGGGGTAATTGATCACACATCTCAGAATCCAGAGGTCTCAAACATCTGCAGAGAGAAAAGAAGTCTCTCCCTCTACCAGTATCCTCCTTCTGTCCCCAAGAGCAATCACTTCTAAGACAGTTATCTAAGGAGATTATTTGTTTCTGGGGCAACTGCCCCTCAATCATCAAATAATCTGAGAGGAGTCCATGTCCCAGCATCTGGGGAACCCCGCTCTGGGCATCAACCCCTCATTAGCGCTAATGTGAAACATCCCCTGTTAATAGAGCCTACTGTTGGCAACTGAAGAGGCTGGTGAAGTGCCTGGGAAAGACAGGGCGAGGCAGAGCTATTACTGAGCATCTCTATCTCCAGTACTGTTCTAGAGACTGAGGCGAGGGGAGGCTGCTAACCTATGACTCGTGTCCTCAGGACTTACAAACCCCAGTTCTTGGGAGAGAGTCCCAGTTATTTCCTATTGGGATACCCGGCTTGACTTGAACTCTGAATGTTGGGGTAGGTCTTACAAAGGGAGTTAAAACCTAAATTCCAGGCAGGGCATGGTGGTTCACGCCTGTAATCCTAGCACTGTGGGAGGCTGAGGTGGATGAATCATGAGGTCAGAAGTTCAAGACCAGCCTGCCCAAGAAGGTGAAACCTCATCTCTACCAAAAATACAAAAATTAGCCGGATATGGTGGCGGGCGCCTATAATTCCAGCTACTTGGGAGGCTGAGGCAGAAAGTTGCTTAAACCCAGGAGGCAGAGGTTGCAGTGACCCAAAATTGCACCACTGCACTCCAGCCTGGGTGGCAGAGCAAGACTCTGCCTCAAAACAAAACAAAACAAAACCTAAATTCCACCCGCCCCATTGAGAAGAAGCAACCTTTGTCTCCCTTCTAGGGAAAGGCTTTCCTGTCAACAACCAGCTGTAAGTATGGAGCATGGGGTGGAGACGCCAGGACAGCCTGGAGAGGCCTGAACTAGGACAGAGGTGATGGAGTTGGCAAAGCGGGGGTGAACTGGTGCAAAATTAAGGAAGTGAAACTGGCAGCCCATGCTATAAACTAGTTTCAGGGCCCATTGATGCCCCAGTGAGTCACTGAGGCCTGTGGGAGGAGCTGAGCACCTACTGCGCACCAGACTCCATGCTGGGTCTCCCCACTTGTTCTCCCGAATAATCCTCAAATGACCCTTGAGGTAGGAATTATCATCCCCACACAGTCAGTGAGGAGGGGCCTCAGAGAAGCCCAGTTACTGGTTGGAAGCCCCAGTCCTCTGGGCAGTGATGCTGCCAGGACTGGAATCCAACTCTGCTCGGAGCAGGGGCAGTCCTAAGTCTGTAGACAAACACAGATGCCAAGAGCTGTGTGGAGGACACTGTGTGTGGCTCTGTGGGTGTCCAGGTACCCACTCACCAGGGACATTCAGAGAAATAGCCAAAGTGCCAGAGGGTTGCTGGGGGTCCCAACCAACACAGCAGGGCACCAGACACGGTGCACAACGACAAGGACCCTGAGGGCAAGGTCATGGGGAAGGCTAAGAACTTGGCCAGAGCTCCTTCCTGAGCAGATGAAAGGGGGCAGAGATGTCAGTAGAAGGTGAGGGGGGCTTGAATCCTACAAGTGCCCACCACCTAACCAGGCAGAGCCACAGCAGCTGGCAGCCTGCACTGTCTTACTGCCAGTTTCAGACTCCCTTCCCTGTCCTTTGCGGTGGGGTTGCAGGTGACTGACTGTCCTTCATCTACTCACTGAAGCACAGAGAGGGGCCAGCTAAGGCTGGGCTACAAGGGGCTGGGAGGTGCCAGGCATGGTTCTGGGGTTCATACCTATAATCCCAGGACTTTGAGAGGCTGATGCATGTGGATCGCTTGAGCCTAGGAGTTTGAGGCCAGCCTGGGCAACATGGCAAACGTGGAGTTAAGTATTTCACATGTAACTCACTTACCCCTCTCAATGATCCTTGGCACAAGTGACCATTATTATCCCCATTTTACAGATGAACAGATAGAGAAACAGAGGTTAAGCATCCTGCCCAAGGTTATACCATACCTGGACACTGACCAGACTGGGGCTTGAACCCAGGTGTCCAGTATAACCACAGTGCACCTGCACCCACCCATTCCTCCCACCTACCCTCCTCAGCCTTTCCCTCTCTGCACCCCCACCCCACCTTGCCTATCTCCAAAGATGCTTCCATCCCCATGGCCTGAGGACCTGAGTATTGACCAGGGCTGAGTGACCTTGACCTAGCTATGGATTCTGGGCATGACCTTGGCTACCTGCCTGCCCCTAGTGTCTGCTCCACCCTGCCCACCCGGCTTGAGGGGAGTCAAGCCAGATCTCTGGGGTGAAGAATGGGCACCCTGCAGGCAGGCTGGCCTACAGGGGGTCAGATGAGAGCCAAGAGCTAGGCCCACGAGTCCCACCCGCCACAGCCTTGCCATGTGCACAGACCACAGGCCACAAAGACACGGAGCCCTTTGTTCCTCCCAGTTTAAAATGTCAGGCCACCCTCCTAAAATGTGCAAGAAGATCTAGGCATGCATCTTGGTGACCCACGGTGACCACATTGACCCACGTCAGCTGTCCCTCCCTACGTCTCCCGCTACTGGCTTCAGGGCGGCCTCCATGGGAGGCTGCAGGGTACCCCATTTCAGACACCATTGCTTTTCTCCTCTTGGTCTTGTCATTCTGGGCTCTCCTGCCTCCCAGACCAGTGGTCACTGCTGAACAGAAATGGAGGGAGGGGCAGCTGTTCCCTGGGCCCCAAGAGGCATGAGGATGGGGCTTGGGTGCAAAGGGCAGGCCAGACTTGGCCTCAGACTCTCCCACTCCTGCTGCTCAGCTATCATTTGTCATCACCATGGGACTCTGCATCTCAGCCCACCAGGAAGCTGAGCCAGCCCATTCTTCTCATTTCATTTTATTCTTTATTCATTTTGATATGAGTCTTGCTCTATCATCCAGGCTGGAGTGCAGCAATGTGACCATAGCTCACTGCAGCCTCCAACTCCTGGGTTCAAGTGATCCTCCCACCTCAGCCTCCTGAGTAGCTGGGACTATAGGCATGCACCACTACCCCTGCCTAATTTTTTGTTATTGTTTTGTTTTTCGTTTTGGTAGAGATGGAGTTTTGCTGTGTTGCTTAGCCTGGCCACAAACTCCTGGTCTCAAGTGATCCACACACCTCGGTCTCCCAAAGTCCTGGGATTACAGGCATGAGTCACCCCATCCAGCCCCATTATTCTCACTTTAAAGGCAAGGTGGCTGAGGTCTGGAGAGGTATGAACTGCTCAAGGGCACCCAGAGAGCCAATGGCAGAGCCAGGATTCAAGCTTCAGGCTATTCCTATAGCAATGAGTGTACTGCCCCATGATACCCTTATAATATGCCCAGGAAAAGCTGTTTCTGGTTCTGATGCCCTGAGACACCCCAGACATGCCATCAAGGCAGAGTACACACAACGCCCACTCTTCTCCTCAGTAGTTTTTCCTAACCACAGCACCCATGATTTTCCCTTTCATTTGTTTTCCCACCGATCAACATGATGAGAACATAGAGAAAACATAATAAGAGACCTCCCAAATGACAGATGGACCATAATGGCAGAGGAGTTGAACTATAAATAGAAGAGGGCTGGCCTTCTCCAAGCTGCCCCTGGGATCTTCTGCTTAGGCAGGACCTGCACCCTCTCATTAAGCAGCCTCACAGCCCTCCCTTGGGCCCTGGTAGGCAGTTGGGCGGGGCATGGGCATGGGTGAGGCTGTTAGCAGGGCTGGGTGGGGGGCACTTGCCAGGCACATCCCATAAAGTTTTGGGGAGAGAGTTTCAGCATCCTTCCATTGTGGGCCACATTTCCTCTGTAGGGGCAAGGGGCTGGCAGCAGGACTGGGGGCAGGTTGTGGACAGGGGTCACCTGGGCTTGTGTAAGATTCCTGGCTACCCTCTTAGGACAGATTCTTAGATATGGATGGTGGGTGTTCTGGGAGATCCAGAGGCAGGCGGTTCAGCACTGTTGTCAGCTGACCTTCCTTGGCTACTTACTGCACGCCAGCCCAATGCTAAGCATTTTCCATAAATGGTCCCATTTAATCCTCTCAATAACAATGTGCAGTAGTATTGGGATTGTCCTTATTGTACAGATGGCACACAGAGAGGTTAGGCAACTTGCCCAGGGTCACGCAGCAGGTAAGAGGCAGAGACAGATTGAACCTAGGAACCTGTCTCTTGTGCCTGTTGGTGTAACCATGACACTACACTGCTTCCCCCAGAGGGCTGGGGGAGAGACCTATGGAGGGATGGCTCCAGCAGGAAGCCAGCAGGCTATGGGCTCAGCCCCATCTGGTTTGGCAGGCCCTGGATAAGGGAAGAGAGAAATAATGGCTGGCTATGTTTGAGGAAGACAGGAAGCCAGTAGGGGGAGAGGGAAGGAGGGACAGCTGACGTGGAGGATGATGTTCATGATCCTCGGAGCCTCCTGGCAGAAGTGACAAGTTACATCCATTAAGATGCAGCATACCTAGGGGAAATGGGGACAACTGGGACTAGTCCCCAGAAACAGGATCCGACATGGGGGAGGCTGCACTGTGTCTCAGCAGCAGTGCACACAACTGGTACCCATCAAAGGGGGTTGATTAGAAAAGCCAACATACCAGAAACTGGCCGGGGGTCACAGGTCCCCAGGGTCAGCAGGGGCTGGGGACTATGGGTCCCCAGTGTTGAGAACACCCCAAGCCACACATCCCTTGGGCTGCACATCCTCAAGTTCATGGGCCTCCAGGGTTCCTAAATTAAAGGATCCCCAAGGTTATTAGCCCCAGAGTAGGGGGTGCCTGGGGCCACAGATGCTGGCTCCTGTCCCATGTCTCCTTCTAGTTTCTACTCCCCTGGCCAGAGAACCACCCTGGGGGTTACAAATGGGTTTGTGGTCAGTATCCAAGGACAGCGAGGCTTTGTTAGCGTGAGGAGGGTTCCACATGGAATCTAGACACTCTTGCCATCAACCGGGGCCCCTGTGTTGGTGTGAGAGGCTCTTGGCTTACAGAATTATGTGGTCTTGTCAGAGGCGTTTGAACCAGAGCAACTCCATCTTGAGTAGGGGCTGGGTAAAATGAGGCTGGGGCCTACTGGGCTAAATTCCCAGATGGTTAGGCATTCTAAGTCATAGGGTGAGATAGGGGGTCAGCACAAGATACAGGTCATAAGGACCTTGCTGATAAAACAGATTGCAGTAAAGAAGTTGGCCAAAACCAAGATGGCAATGAGAGTGGCCTCTGGTTGTCCTCACTGCTACATTCCCAACAGTGCCATAACAGCTTACAAATGCCACGGCAACATCAGGAAGTTACCCTATATGGTCTAAAAAGGGAAGGCATGAATAATCCACCCCTTGTTTAGCATATCATCAAAAAATAACCATAAAAATGGGCAACCAGCAGCCCTCAGGGCTACTGTGTCTATGGAGTAGCCATTACTTTATTACTCGACTTTATTTATTTATTTTTTTTGGATGGAGGGCAGGGGTGTGATCTTGGCTCACTGCAACCTCTGCCTCCTACAAGTAATTCTCGTGCCTCAGCCTCCTGAGGAGCTGGGATTACAGGCATGTACCCCCATGCTTGGCTAATTATTGTATTTTTAGTAGAGATGAGGTTTTGCCATATTGGTCAGGGTGATCTCGAACTCCTGACCTCAGGTGTTCCACCAGCCTTGGCTTCTCAAAGTGCTAAGATTACAGGCGTGAGCCACCACACCAGACCATTATTTGCTTTCTTAAACACTTGCTTTCACTTTACTCTATAGACCTGCCTTGAATTCTTTCTTGTGCGAGATCCAAGAACCATCTCTTGGGGTCTGGATTGGGATTCCTTCCCGGTAACAGTCTGAGGTTCCATCTCTGCTTGTGGTGTCAGAACAAAGGAGAGGGTCTGTGCCCTGTGGCCTGGGGAGAACAGGACCCTTCTGTAGGAGGTGTTGGAGGGGGATGGTTCTTGACCAAGTGGAAAGTAGGCAGCAGGCAGGAAAGACCAGAGCTGAGGCAAGATGGAATGGCTCCCACACCAGGCTGCCCTGGGCTACAGGGCAGTGCTAATCCTCCCAGAAGGGCTCCAGAGAGCCTGGTCGTGCTTAGTCCAAAGAGGCACATCTAACACAGGAAGGAGCAGCCATCTGGGAAGGTGACAGGCACCCTCACTGGGAGTCCTTCTTTAGGCTTGGAGGGAGGATCACCAAGACTCCTGCAGGGGGTCTGCCTTGCTGCCTCTCCAAATCCCCAAAGTGGAGGTCTTCTGCTAGCTGTCCACTGAGAGTCTGGACACGCCTGCCACTCAGGGTGGCTGCCCTGGAGCTCCCAACCCTAGGAGTGGCCTGGAAAGCAAGACAAGTGGCAGCCTGGCCTGGACTCCCTGGGACCAGCCCCACTAGGCAGCTAAGTGAGATAAGAAGACTGGTGTCTTTCTCCTGCGTAATTTGCTGGTGCTAATAAGGCCAGCGTTGCACACATTTACAAAACCTTTGATTTCACAATTACCAAGGGCCTTGCCAAGTATTAATTAAGCCTCAAAACCCCTGGAGCCTGCAGCAGATTCTCATTAACCTCATTTGGCAGAGGCTACGACTCTGCTTTCCTGCCAGAGCCCCATGGATGTAGCAATGGCTGCGGCCCTGGGAGCCTGGCTGGCAGAGTTCCCACCCCATGTTATGGGATGACGGACATCAGGGAGGCTTTGGGGATCCTAATAACTCTGTGACTCTCACAGAAGAGCCCAGTTCAGACCAGACAGATCACAGGCTTCTATTAGAGTAGCCGACACAGAAAGGATCTCCCCACCCTTTGGGCTTTATTGAGATCTAAGTTACATACCGCACACTGCACCTATTGAATGCATTCCACCCGGTGGCTTTTAGCGTATTCACAGAGCTGTGCATCCATTACCACGATCAATATTAGAACATTTCATTAACCCAGAAAGAAACCCTACACCCCTTGGCCATTTTCCTGGCGTCCTCCCCAGCCCTAGGCAGCCACGAATCTACTTTCTGTCTCTAGAGATTTGCCTACTTTGGTTTGTTTTTATTTATTTTTATTGTGGCAAAATATCTATAACATACAACTTTTCACTTTAACCATTTGCAAGTGTCCAATTCGGAGGCATTCAGTACATTCACCTTATTGTTCAAACTTCACGACCATTCATCTCCAGC